ATATTGGATAAAACCATTGAATCCTATACATAATATTACTCTCAACAAGTGGGATTTTAAATGAGCTGCATCAAGACTACAAGACGCAATAGTGTTTATATTGTGCCATTTTAACTCATAATATTGTATTTTTGAAAGAAATTATTAATCATGATTTAGTTACAAGTTTTTAATTTCAATACAATAATTTATTCCGGTCAAGTTGACCTAGGTTGGTGCCAAATACACAATACAGAATACTGTGTATTCATATTGTATTCAGTATAGTGTTTTATGTTTAATAATATTGTGACTTACTGTTCTTTTATGATTACCTACCTACCTTTAATTATTGGTGTAAAAGGAAAAAAAAAATGAAATTAATATCGTTTAAATTAATTTATTTTTAAAATGTAAAGTACAGGTATTAAACAATATCTTAATATACGTAATACGTATAATATAATATATATATATTATAATATAATACAATATTATAATTACATTATTCGCATCAATAACAATAATCTAAAAAGTGTGCTTTGTTCCCAGCAGTCATAGAACTGAAAGGACTAAAAATAAAATTAAACTCAGTATATTAATCACTTTATTAGTCTGATTTTGAGCTAGTTTTATGATCACAAAAAAATATTAAAAACCAAAACTACAGAGATATTAATGTATAATTTATTATGTGGGTATAGGGCCGGTCTTCATGTTTTATTCGTATGATTCAATGTTTAACTTTTTCCCTCTAAATAACCCTGAATGACCGCTGTTTTTTTTCTATTAATATGATGATGAAACAAAAACAAATAGTAGGTATATATTATACATAATTTATTTTTGGGATAGTTTAACTGTTTTACTTGACTTTTTAAAGAGATGAATCTAATAACAGATATTCTTATTTTTAATAATAAATGATATTTTTATAATTTTTCAATATTGTTAAGTGTCTATGACGTATAGAAGTATATTTGGATCATAACCATTATTTTCTATTTTAAAAGTTTTACGGTAAATTGTTTAGATAGGTAGGTATTTCTATAGTATTCTCAATAAACTATGTAACATTATAAGTAGGTATGAAAGTGTTGTTTACTTCGAAATATCGGAAAATGATATCAACGATATTAACTTAACTTTCTACCCTTTTAAAATCCATTAACTATACAAATTTACAGTAAGTACTCGTATTATATTGTAAGCTAGGTACTTCAGTTTATTTATATACTAGTATTGTTCATATCTCTAAAATATTTCTACTTAAATATAAGTGGTGCGTTTAATAGTATTATGTAACCATTTATTTTTCAACATATTTTTAAACGTCGATAATGATGTTTTAAATTACCTACTAGGTAATAATAGATGAAACCAATATAAATTATTTTAAATGACTTATTATATTGTACGTAATTAGTATACAACTGTCGTGATCGGTAAAATTGTTTGTCATCGTACTGGCATGATCAAACGTCAGACCATAATTAATGATGTTATAAAACACATAAAAAATAAATAAATAAAATAGATTGAAAATAATTATAACTTAAGTGCTTACACCTATTACTGAATGGGTGCTTTTTAACTAAGGTGAATAACAAATACGTTACCTACCCCCGTATTTATTTCAAAGCATCATTAATATCTTTTTTAACTTTTTTATTATCGGTATTACTATTATATTATTGCTAATAACAAATAAAATGATTGTTACTATTGTCGACTAAAAGGTTATTTCACACAATTAAATTTATAGTTTCATTATTCATAGTTCTACATGATTCTTATTTTTAAGCAATTACCATCGACGAACTTATTATATTATTATATAGTAATAATGATATTTTTATTGAATAACATAAAGAAGAGACATTTTTAATATTTGTTAATAAACAATACGTAACTGAATGAATATTATCTGTATAAATATAAATAAATACTGTTTTCAAAATGTATAGGATTAAATTCCAAGTATAGAATTTATCTAAGTGAAATTTAAAAACTTGGTTATAACTTATTGTACTTATATATCTAATATAGTAATATTATTTTATATAATAGTAAGTACAACATTAAAATGTTTGCTGTTTTTTATACAATGTCTTCATGATATTTGAATTTTTTTCACTGACGAATTTATCAAAAATGATGAATAAAATCCTTTACATCGACTATAATTCAACATTTAAAAAAACTAAAATACTTAAATGTATAATAATTATTGTATGATAATTTTTCCTTGTTACTTAAATGGCTAAATCTGTAAAAATTATCGTAATTTAAATAAATTATTTTATTTTTAAGGAAGAATTCACTTAATTTTTTTTACTTAGTACCTATCAATGTCATTAGATTAATTATTGTTAATAATATTCTAATATACGGTAGAGATGTAAAGATTATGTACCTAATCGTTTGTCAATGACTTTGTTTATATATTATCTACTGAGTTAAGAGTGTATTAAGATTGTACTAAATTATCAAATTGTATATGTTTTTTGTTTGTCATAATTATAATATAAAACAAATTACACCAATTACAATTTGCAATAAATTCGTTGAAATAAAAAAAACTTTTGAAAGATAATAGTTCATCTATATTATGTTACATATCGATCTGAAATTCATGATGTATGATACTTAATTTTTGATAGAGCAACTCATATAATATAGACGGTAATCCTCTACCCTTACGTCTTATACACATAGCAATGATGAATCTACCCGACGTCGAAGAATGTCAACTAAATCCTGTATGATACGTATCTTTATATCATTGGAATAAATTGTATTAGCTTCTTAGCTTATCACACAAATAACACACGTCTTGGGTAATATTAATGTACACTGTATAATAACATTATGTATAGGTACTTACACATTTTTTTTTTTGTATTAAGAGTACATCACACCCTCAAGTATTGTCTATCAGATGCGTAATATGATTGGCCAATTTTAAGAGCCATTTTACGTTCAAAATAATAAATTTTACTTTAATATTTTTTATTATTTCAATGAATTAAACTGGTATAAAATTTTAAGGCCAGAATATTAATATTTACTGTCCAAATTAAAGTGGTTTTTTTAATTTTATATTTGAAGCAAGTTACAAGTGTAAATTACAACTTTAAAATACTCATTAATTACCTATAACTGCTTCAAAGTTTAAAAAAAGTTATATAAAAAAAGACTACTTTGGGAACTCAAATAATAATGTACTTTTAAATTATCTATCAATGTTCACTATAATATTAAAAATTCATAAATAAAATGGATTATTCTAAACTTAAATGCATCTATGTAATGCGTTTGTGAGACCGTGATAACACATGAGAGTGTGACATTATCTTAAGTTCGTTAATATAGAAACATATTTTTGATATTATCAAAGTAAAAATTATCAAACACTAGTAATAGGTATATTATGTATGTTGCATGCAATATTAACTGGTAAATAATATAAAAATTAATTAGCTGCTTTATTTTCATGCAATTTAATATTTTATACGTATTTATTTACTTTAATAATTTAAATTGAATTATATTTTGTTTTTCATTTAAATTTATTATTTACCCAGTGATATGATAAAAAATGTTCATGTTTTTTCTTTAAATTATACATTTTTATTTTCAATCAATTCTAATTTCTAAATTATAAATCATACAATTTAATACTGCTAATAACAAAAATATTGTAGAGCCACTAGATTATAAAACTTCATTTCACTTTATAAGAATATAATTTAAATAAAAACAATAGACTAATTTTTGCGTGTAAAATAATTTCATCGATCTTTCAAAAAAGAAGTTCTATAAAAAAAAAAAATTACTTCTTTTTGAAAGAAATAAGCCAAATTGTACTATTTTATATAATACATGTGATATTATATTTAGAATTATGTTGTACAAAACAAGTGAGTGAAACTTATATTGTACATATACATTATACATTGTGCTTTAAAATTATAAATCAAAACTGTTTTAAAATTAATTTTTAATTTAACACATCGGTGAATCGTTATAATGTATAAAATATAATTCGGAAATTATGGATTAGTTTTAAGCTACATAGGGTTTACAAAAAATTGAGATAAAACAGTATATTATTCATAATAGCTCATCATATTATAAGATAAACTAAAATGAATCCTAAACAATTTATATATTAATTATATATTGACGTGAGAAAATTAAACGATAATTAATCGATACCTTGTAGGTGTATATTAGACAATATAAGAAAAATATGTTTTTCCAAAGCAAACTTAATAAGCAAAATGTGCATTTAAATCAGTCTTTCCCAACCTGTGGGTCCACAGTTCCCAAATATTTTTTTTTTTTTTTTTTTAGTATTAAAATAAATTTGAAAAATGTAGATCTAATGAAAAAATATAATTTAATGGTCAACCAATTTACAATTTATAAATACTCAAAAATATCGTTAGGTTGTTCTTAAATATTATTTACTCTAAAATCTAAAATCTAAAATCTGAGAAAAAATTATCCTTGGCTTTGAAGAAAAAAAATGTTGGGAAACACCTATTGAAATGGTAACACCTTACAATGAATTATTTCAAAAACAAACCAGTGTGTTCAACATTTTTAAAAACCTTTGAGCGAAAAATAATTAAATACTCACGTTAACACGATGTTTACATATTATAGTATTATAATAATACCGGAAAAAATATTGGTCAAATAAGTAAAAATCAAAAAATGCCTTTCACTACAAAACTGAATAGTAATCATAGGCGGCTAATTCGAACAGTGACGATTTTCGCTCTGAAACGGTCTCGGGTTAGCGCGAGTACGTTATAAACCGTATATCATCAAGCTTGCGACGAAAATTATTTTCAAAGAAAATTCAAGAGTACCGGCAATTATGTTAATAATAATAATAAATAATAATAATAATAATAATAATAATAATAAATAATAATAATAATAATAATAATAATAATAATAATAATGAATAATAATAATATAATTGGAGTTATTATTTTTGCACTTACCGACGGCGAAGAAGAACGGCCACATCAGAGCGAGATGGTTGCACGCGATGAGAGCCAACACGATTTTCCACGACCAACCGGTCAGTCTCAAGAAGGTGATCCCATGTGGAGCCATTTTCTTTTCTTTTTTTTCTATCGACTTGCGGCGAGTAAGCGGTTCTCACTTTTAGTTGGTTTTAACGAACGGTTTTTCGTTTTCACTTCGGGTTTTATCTCGGAGAAAATAAAATGTCTCTAAAGAAAAAGATTGCCTCCGTTTCGCGCGGGGCAGACGACCACTCGACCAGTGGCGAGTGTTTGGGAAAAACGATGGTATTTAATACGACGTGTAATATTGTTATTGTCTTAAAGGGACCATTCGATCGGGTTCGACTTGCGGATAATATAATGTATGGACGACAATAATATTATTGTTGCGTATAGTATCGCTCGCGTAATCGTCCCGCCACGGTTCGATGGCGACAATAATATTATTATATTTTAATATTACGACAAAACGATACCGTTACGAATAATATGACGATATAATATTATATTTTATTACGATAAAAAATTAGTGGTCAGAGTTCACACTCCGTCACATCGGTAGGTCGGTAGGTGCGTAATAAAAAGATCACGACACTGATCCGGCGGTGGGCGGCCTCGTCGTTTTGGATGGTCGGGGGAGGTTTTATTTCGGATTTTTTTTTTTTGTCTGTCGATTTTTATAATATTGTTACAACGAAGAAAACGACGACAAAGACGGCGGAAAACGACGACGATGACGATATTGTTACTATCGACGGGCGCACACCGGCGTTCAGACCAACGGCGGACAGTCCACTGAAATGCCGAGTCGCGTGCGTCGTCGGGAAAACGCGGGCCGTCTGTACGCTCGCGGCTGGCGAAAACGCGGCGGCGCGCGAACCCCCCCGAGTCGGCGGGTGGCGCTACGCGTGCACTCGCCCGCCCCGCAAACCAGCAGTGCCATCTGTAGATCAAGCCGACCGGGTTATTATATTATAATATTATACGCTCGTCTGCACCGCCGTCGGACGACAACAACAACAACAACAACAGCGACGACGACGGGAGAGCCATCGGGGGTCGGGGTTTTCGTTTGGGGCCGGGGGGGAGGGGCTCAAAAATGTCCCCACACACAAGATGTCACCACCGACATTATAATATCGATACGACTGCGAAACAAATTGGATTTAGATTTAAAGCTGATATTCGAAATTCAAACTCGCAGCGCATTACGCGACGAACCGAACTGAATTACTGTGCAAACTCGACTTTCATGCCTGCACACCACCACAGACAGGTCGAAATCCTGTTACACGCTGTATTTTCCTGGTTTTATTTTTCAACCAATTATTATTGTTTCCTGTATTTTACTTTTCCGTTTTTGTCACTCAACTAAATAACTTTTTTTGAAATTTATAGCTCGTAATTTTCGTCGAACGTTGACGATAAGACGTAATCTCGTGGCGATTGCCACAAACCCGATCACGTGGACCCAACATAATTATATCAAATTTGAAATAAAATTATGAGGGCGTCATTATACACGCAGGACAGAAGTGAGTATTTTTTGAGGGAATGTTAATGGTGGAAATGGTTTAGTTGATCTAGAAAATACGAAATGAACACAACTTTAATTATAAAATATTATAACATAAATGTGTAAGCTTAGCCATTGGCCATTACTAAGGATAGAGTATACATATTTTTTCACTTTTAATTATTCAACCGACATTTTTTTTCAATAAATGTGATGTACCTAGATGGAAATTCGATCGAGTTGTTTTTGAGAGTTATAACTTACTATTTTGTGGGCTAAGAATAATTAGTTAATGATTTAAAAATGTTAGTGATCACTATTGATCAATAAATATAAATGATTCTTTAAAATGGTATTTAATTATATAAATGTTTTTTTTATTGAATAATTTATTAGCTTACTATTTTTAATAGGTAGTTACTTTTGATTTTTGATAAATTTCAAATTTATTTTGCTTTAAAGTGTGCACGTGTGTGTATGTGTTCCAATATGAATGTATATAATTAGCTAAAGATATGTCAAATTCAATATAAAACACCAAAAATTGATTTTTATTTGTGATAGGTAATTAATGTAGGTAATTAGGTATAGCAGTTCAATTACATTTACGACTAGGGTTTTAAAATTTCATGAAATTTATTTTCTTGAAATATATCATGAAAAATTCATGAAATATTTAATTTCTGTGAAAAATAAAAATAAAAATGATATTGTATCTAAAACTTGTCAACTTCCAAGTGAATATTTTTAAAAGTTAGTTTATCGTATGAAACAAAGAAAATATTATGTAACATATTTTCATATATCAAATCTATAATATAACAAATTTAAACATTGCCTTTTAACTCTTAAGTTACAACCTCATAAGCCAACTCAACATAATAACATTGTTGAGAGCTCTGGATCTGCGAATGCTTATTATATTATACTATATTATAATTATATTATAATATTATATTCACAATATATAGACATAAACCACTATTAATACTCGTGAGACGTCGTGACCCATTAAAATATACAAAATATGATCTAAGTATTAGATAAAAGAGTCCAGAGCACCTTCACATCACTCAGTTATACACACACACACACACACATATACGACTTTTGTACACTTTATAATTACTGAAAATACACTATTATTTCATTCACTGTTGAAATTGACTTCAACATTATTTCAAACCATTAACTTTTGGAACTTTCGCTGATAGTCTGAATTCAACAATATTTTAAAACTCATATAAAAAATGTTTTTACTCTCAAGATAATGCCAGGGATATTTTTCATAACTGCATAATACAGAATATACAAATATGAAATAATAAATCAAAGAAAATAATATGTTTTTCTTTATTTCTAAGTGTGTAATCAACATATTATTTCTAATCATCTATAACCGAACAAGTTTAAAAGAAGAAAAAATATTTTTAATAATTTCATTGAAATATTTCAAACTTAGAACCCTATATACGACAAACCTATAGTTCAAAAAGTAATGAACTTTCTGAGGTCTGGTTACATCACCCGGTGGTAAGTATAATATTCTATGATTTACACTTTAAAGTCATCAAATTACATAAACATTATATAGCGAAAAAGATATCAAGCATAAAAATGTTATTGTATCCAATTATACAAAATTATAAAAAAAATATATTCGAATTAGTATAAATGACTGTATATCATTAAATAAATCATCTCATTCGATGACAATGTTTTATTGTTAACATAGTGGTATGATAAAAATATGCTGTCACAATATATAGACCTGTATATTCCACTCCAACATGGCACCAAGAGCCACCTCTATGGAAACCCAATACCTCGGGACTCGCGAATAAGTCAATCTTGAAGAGAAATCTTTAGGGCGGCGTCCTATGGTCAGGTATGGCCATTTTCCGACAAACACAGGAAAAGTCTCAAAACGGCACAGGCATAGGCCAGAATTTTTTTCCAGGGGGGGGGGGCAAAGTTTGTCAATTATTTTTTTTACATGGGCTAAGGTTTTTTCAACAAACATTGAGATTAATAAATAAAATATGAACATTTTCGTATCATATGACATAATATAGCTATTAGCTATACAGTATAAGAAAGTGTTTATATTGTATAATTTAAAATTCTAAGCAGATAATTAGATAATATGTACAAACTTTTGAATAGTTAAAAATATCTTAAGAATAATGTTAAATATATTTTATGTACCTTATGTAAGAAATTGTTTAATCACAGACCTTCAACAACTAGATTCATAATGAATAATGATGTACAAAAATGATAATTTCTTTATGACTTCAATATTACATACCTTTGTGAATAAATAGGTAATTATGTTTCTTTTACTTACTTAAATTTCTTAAATATAAACTAAAGTAATTGTGTTTAATAATGAAAGTATGAGAAAGTATTTCCATAAATTAAAAAATTTTAAAAAGTATATTTCATAAATTCTTTGATGCAGCTCTTTTAAGCAGGGCTTGAAACCGATATTTGATACCAATTTTGAATACCTATTAAAACCGTTAAAACCCGAAATCAATACCTAACAAAACCGAAAACAAAATCAAAAAAAATCAATACCGGTGATCAAAATCGAAATCGGAAATGAAAAATATAAAAACTGGTATTCAAAACCAAAAACGAAATCAGAAAAAAAATACCAATAACCGAAATCGAAATCGAATTAGGAAAAAAATATTTACGGTTTCAAGCACTGCTTTTAAGAATGATGTTTTATGACTTTATTGTATTGTACATATTTGTCGGTGGTGGGGCTGTTGAGGAGGCTGAACTGTTCTCTGGGGGGCCCACCTTGCCCCTCCCCCTTGGCGTAGTTCCTGATACGGTATGGCCGAAAAGTTATCGACGATCCATTATCAAAAATGTATGATAGGTACTGGAACAGTTATATACTGTTTGTGATTAAATTATGCAAACCGTAACAAACTGTCTTGGTTTTATCCTAGTAGTGGTCTGAAAAATTGTCTAAATATCCCATCGAAAGCCACGAACATAATATTATATACTGCATCGCTTTTTCATGTATTTGACTATAATAATATTATACTATTGACAGTCTGTTAATATTTTTTTTTCTCGTATCGTTACGCGATAATTTGTTCAACATTTTTGGGACAAATAACACCAGTATTTGGTAAGATCGGCGAACAGCAGCCACCGTCGCCGATTCTTCGTACTTCGAGCATGTAAGTCTGAATAAGTTCTAATTTATTGATAATATTTGTATGTATTTGTATTTCTACTTTGTTGATGTGTATAACGCATAAAGGTCAACGAGTAGAATTGATTCACATTCCATATTATAGACTATGGTAATATGCTAATTGTAATGCTATTAAAAACTGTCGTACAGTTTGTCGTCATATTGGGCTGGACAATATTGTTACGTCTTGTTCGGTAAAAAGTATGATTGTGACAATTTTGTGTGGTTTAACGATGATCGGTAAAAAAATTGAGAAAAGTGTCGATGGCACTCCCACAGATGAAACTCCCACGACTGAAATAGAAAAGTATATTATATAGAAATTTAAATTTCCGTTTCAAACGTA